GCCCCCCCGCCGATAAACCCGGAATCTCCCCTTCCCCTCCGTGTTTTCCGCCTCTGCAGAGCAGGCAGCAGCAGGCACGCCAGCGAAGATGTCGGGTCAGACGCTGACGGATCGCATCGCAGCTGCTCAGTACAGCGTTACGGGATCAGCCGTAGCCAGAGCCGTCTGCAAAGCCACCACGCATGAAGTGATGGGGCCCAAGAAAAAGCACCTGGACTGTGAGCATCCCTTTTCGTATCCCCAGCGAAGACCCGGGGCTGACGAGACTGCTCACGGTGCTCTTTGGTGTGCCCCTGAGCAGCCGCGCTTGCTGTAATCCAGCTTGCAAACCCTAAGGGTTATGAGAAATCTGCAGGAGAGGATGAGTTATTATTGCATTTCTTCTCTTATTGCATAATACTCTTTTCAGCCATTTTTTTTTTTTTTTTCCTTTTCCTCATGACCTCTCGCTTTTTATCCAGGAAGGCAGTTTGAAGCGTGCCTTGCGGAGCAGGGTCTTGGAAAGAGGGGAGGGAATTGGACACAGGGCAAAATGGACACGCGCTTGTCGCTGCCTGCTTCGGTCAGGATTAAGCTAGGCAGAGACATAAATGCTATGCCAGGAGCTGGCCAAGCACCAGTAGGAGTCCACAGCAGACTTCTGAAGAGGTTTAGATGGTGGTGTGTTTAGATGGCAAGGCATTTGGACAATGCCACGCTGTAGATAGGGACAGCCTTTGGAGTGTGTAAGGGCTGTTGGTGAGGTTCCAAATATCAGAGACCCAACTTCGTGAGCTGCCTGATGGTTTGCATCACGTTTCATTGAAGAGGGCTGTAGCTTTGTCTCAAAGATTTACGATCAATTCTGGACTGGCATTAGCTAGTTAAAGCATGCAACAAGGTTGAAGTCAAAATGTTTCTTAAAAAACAATGAGCTAGGGATGTTTTGTCTTGACAGTTTTCTTTTCAACCCACTCAACTGTCAGTCCCTGCTTGGAGATACCAAGGAGTAGAATGGTGGAAGAATTTAATTGCATGATGTTAATTGGCCTTTTTTACCAGTAGTGACTCTGTCCAGCATTGAACTCAGTGGATCAACAGCAGGTTTTAATGTCTAAAATTCAGTGTTTTTTCCAGTTTTTTTGGGACATGCTAAGAAACACTTTCAAGTAAAGATCAGCAGGTTTTATATCAAGCAGCCTCTTGGCTGCTGGCTGTTACTAAGTAATGCTGGTGTAGGTGCATGTAAGTACAGTTCTGATGATGCTGTATTTCTTAAAAGAGGTAGTATTACCTCTGAAAATAATTCCAGATTTCAGTGCTAACGATTTCATAGCTGACCCTTAAAGTGGCAAACAGTATGTGGGTCTTCCAGTATACCTAAATACTCTTGTATATATATCTAAGAGATGCTGACCTAAGCAGCATTGATTAAAGACTGACTTGAGTCTAAACCATCATTTAAATAGATCGGCTGTCTTGATATTGTGTATTCTCTCTTGTTTATTTTAAAAAATTTATTGATTATTGATATCTCTTATGTTGCTGTTTGGTAGCTGTTGACACTTCTTAATCTGTAGGCTATGTCGGGACAGTCCTACTGTCTCTGTTACTGGAAGCTTTAGCTTAACCACATGAGCTAGGATTTTTTTTTTTAAAAGCATGCTGTGTCTCTCTGTGTGTATTTTAACATATACACACACACAGAGGAACATATATATTTATAAATAAAGTACTGTCTGCAATAGGCAGGATTAAAGTGAGGTAGAAATAATTTACTAGTGCTGTATTAAGTTCTGGAAGGGGATTGTGTTTGGATATTTGTGCTAATACTACTACTTCAGAAAATGAGCGTGGGAGAGACTGAAGCCAATAGCATTCCATACAGTTTCATACCCACCTGCATGTAGGACACACAAGAGGAAAAGAAATTATCATTTCTTGGGAGGATACATCCCTGATCAGTTTTCCTTCTATTTTCCAAGCTGTATAGAACAGTTGAGAGTTTAACTAATTGGTATCATTAAAGACAGAATCTTGTCAGTGGGAGATACACACATTCAAAGTTGTGGACTATAAATGCAAATCATGTTCATGTTTTAGAAGAAAAAAATATTTTCAGGCTCTTAAACCTGAGTCATCTCCTCAGAACTATGAATTGCTAGGCAATTCCTTGCACTCTGATGTGTATCTTGTGAACAAGTGTTAAAATAGGACTTAAATATTGTAATGAGAGAGTAAATTAAAAGTTCATCCTCTGAAAGAGGAATACCCCCATGCATGCAGGAGGTGTACTGCTAGGTGGAGATAGATCTGAGCCACGTGGCTGACTGCATTTAAGGTTGGATAAGTAGCATTGGAAGATGTGACAAAGGGAGTAAAAAGTAAAACTTTCCAATGCCTTAAGGTAAGTTTTAAGTCAAGATGTGAAGCATTTAGATGATTAAAACTTAAGGTACCAGAGAGCAATGGTTGGAGTGATGCTTTATGAAGAGCTGTAATGCTAGCATTGGTGTGGGAGTTCTCTGTCCTTAGGGTACTCCACAATTTTTATTTTGTGTCTTGGTGGCCAGGTGTCATGTCCCACAACCTATCTTCTGCTGCCCTGTGTAGCAGCTGGGCTTTGTAAATTAAATGGAGATGTCAACTATTTAACATGAGTTAAATAGTCCTGTGAGTATGGGACACAGTGATGCCTGTCCTCATATGTTTTCTGCAGAATGTATTAGTTCCAGACGGTTATATAAAGATGACAGGTGATAAGGTGTGGGGTGGTTTGTTTTTTTTCTTGTTTGGTTGGTTTAGGTTTTTTAGTTTCCCTATTTAGAGGGAATTTGCTCTGAGGAATAAAAAGCATGATTTGGTTATGAGCGCATGTGCGTGAGGAAGGGAGAACAGAATAAATGCCTTGTGCAGAACAAAAGCTGAGCTGCTAGGTGTTTACCTTTGTGTGGTTTTCTGTATTTGCGTGGCTTACAAGTGTGCAGGCTTTAATATGGAAGTTGCATAGTGACAGGAATGGGCTCTGGGGGCTGCACAGGCTTGTCATGTAAAGAAGTACTGAAGTATGTTTAGGTTGCTATCATATACTCATCAGTAAGATTTACCATTTGCTTGAATTCCAGCACTCATACTAGTGAATTGCCAGCAGCTGTGGAAAGTAGTGCCAGATGGCAATAAAGGCATTTTCCAAGTGCCTGTGGGGAGAAAAGGAACGTAAGTCGGGATGCTCTGATGGTTTGGGGCAAGCCGTTGCAGTTGGCACTTAACAAACTTGTCGTCTTGAAGCCATATCATTGTGGTGACTTTATCTCCCTCAGCTGACCATGTTATGTTGAATAAGTTACAATTAGGTACAGCAAGGGAAGCATTTCCATGGAGAAGTGTGGATTGGCAACTTGATTTTGCAGTAGTGAGAAGGGCCATTGCAGAATGGGTGAATGAGGTATACGGGCTACGGTAAGGATAAATGAGCTGTGGTGATTTAACTGGGAGGGCAATCCTAGTGCACAGCGTAGAAGTTACATCTTTCAGAACAACCTGAGAATGAGTTAAGGCTTCACTGAGGGTTTCATTGTGTGGGGCAAGTAAAAGGCAGCTTCCAGCCACAAATAGGGGTGACTGATGGTGTCAACAGGGAAAAGCTTTCAAGCTTTGACTTGACTTTCAAATGTTAAAACACATGATAGATCAGGGAAAAATAGGTAGATCTGAGCTAATCTCCTTTTATAAAGGATCTCACTCAGAAACAGATCGTGAAGCTTTCATTTAGAGAAGTAAACTGGAAACCAGTGAGGTTGTTGTGTCTGCAGTCGGTCGTAACAAGTTCCTGTTTCTGAAAATGATCAAAACGGCTGGGATTTTCCTTCACTTAATTTGTTGAGTGAACTGCTTTGCAGCAGGAGGAAGTTCTGGAGTGTGCAGTCTAAAAAGAATACATGGTGCCTCCTTACTTCTTCAAAACAATTCTAGGAAGGTAGAAGACCCTTCTGGTGGCCTGATCAAGTGCTGGGAGACTTTCATGAAATATGGAAACAAAGCAGTTGAAGATCAGGGCTTGATTTTTCTGTGGCTGTGGAGATGACCTGTGTATCTGTAGTAACATCTTTCCATCACAGGTCTAATTTTTAATATTTGTATGTGGCTGACAAACAAAAGCTTTAAAAGGAAATTTATAGTTTAATTCATGCTGGTAACTGCACTGCAGGGCTGGTGTCAGTATTTCACCTTTACAGACACTTTTGTTCCTGCAGTGTTTTGCCTTTCTCCTGAAAACTGTAGGAATCTCTCACAAGTTTGAATCACTGTGGTCTCTAGTGTTGAAACAGAAGCGACTGTTGACCAAAAGCAATGGGTTAAACTTTTTTCCTGTGCTCAGTAAAGATAAAGTTGCTGGATCCCACAGGTTAGTCTTAAAAACCTCTATCTCATTCCTGAGGAATATGTGTGTGTGTCTGTTTTTTGGGGGCAAGGTAGGGGTCAGTGGAGCTATTTTGAGTCACTAGGCTTCAGTGACTGTTAAGGTTAACCTGGATGCATATTTCAGAAGTTGCTTGCTGTGAAGTGATTTGGGGAGTGTTCCAAGTCTGTTGGCACTTGGGGCCCTTTCCTAGCAGGAGTAGCGCAGATGTACAAGTACTGCATTGCTCTGCAGTCCAGGTGACACTTTGTCTCTATGGCTGTGGAAGTACCTTTAAGAAAATTGCTAAGAAAGGAGTCCCTGTACAAAGTAGGCTTAATCCTTCACACTTTACTAATGAAAATACTTTTGTATGTCTTGCTGTATCTTGTATTGCAGTAACTTGTCACAGTTTCCACTTAAGAGAACTGTCTTTGTTTAAAAGTTAGCATTGAAGATCAGCTGTAATACAGTGGTTTTTGTTGTAACAGCTGGGGTGTATTCTAAATTGTGAACTCCTCCTTGTCACTCCAATGAATCTCTTTCACACCTGAAAAGAAAAACATCTAAGCAAGAAATTCCTTTCTTTAATTCATTAATGGATATTGGATTAGTGCTGCTTTTTGTGTGTAAGGACTTGTCATCAGTCTCTGTGTTGAATAACACTGTTCCTGTGGGCTTCTCTCATGTCCTTTCCCAAAACAGTACTAAGATTCACTTCATTTGGATGTGTGTAGATCTCTGAATAGGAGTAGAAATGTCTGTCATGGGTGAGGGGAGCTAATAAGAAAGCCTTTTAGGTTAGTTGATCTTTAATATTTCATTGGCATTAACTTTCAA